CCTCGGGGCGGGGGTCTGCTGCTCCCGCCCGCCCGAGGGTCGCGGACATCTGGCCGGGCCTGGGGTCGGAGTGTGGGCTCCGGATCAGGGCCGGGGTTCCGACGCTAAAGTGAGGGTCCCCGGGCACCGCCTCTGAACTGAGTTGGGGTGCGGCAGGAGGGGGCTGCCCCATGGGGGGTCTGCCCTTCTGCGTCCCGGGGGGTGGGGGTGTCCTGGCCCGAGGGCTGGGACAGGCGTCTGCAAGCAAAGATGGGGGTCAGGAGGAGGAGGGGCGGGGGTGTCACAGACCTTCCCGCGGCGAGGAGAAGGAGGGGCGGGGGTCTGGTCTCCTCGGGAAGAGGCCGAAATCCCCCAGCTGCGTCATCTAGGTTGGGGGCAAGTGTTGGTATTGGAGGGGCTGTAGTCATACGGAGGAAGGAGGCTCCAGGTAGTTGGGGTCCTGGGCCGGGGACTCAGATGTGGGGAGCTCTGGCAGAATACCTGTGCCCCCGGGACTGGATGGAGGAACGGACAGATTGAGAAGGGAGGGAAGGGTTAACACAGGGTCAAAGGGTTAATCTCAGCCCTCCCAGTGGGAGAAGGGGCTGGGGGCCGGTCTGTGGAGCCAGCAGGAGGGGAGAATAGAAAGTGGGGGGCTCAGAGCGAACCGTGCAGCCTCTGGACAGAGGACGTGTAGCTGAGCTTTGCGTCTCGCAGCCGGGGCTGCAGCCCTGACGGTCCAGTGGAGGGGGGTGGGGGACCAGGAACAGTTCTAATTCAGGGCTTCTGGAGGATTTCCCCAGGCCCCGCCTCAAATCGGGGGTCACAGAGTCAGGGACACGCGGTCAGAGCAACCTGGAGCCACCAACAGTCTGGGTGAGGCAGCTGCTCCGGGCCCCGCGCCCACACACACAGCAGGTCACGCACCGCTACGTGGACAGCGGGACCGAGTCCAGCCAGGAGCGGCTCGGGCCAGCCAGGCGGGACCAGGCCCGGCGCCCGCCCCCCCACCCCACCCCGAGTCGGACCCCCAGTCTGAGTTCTCCTTTGCTTGACCTGTGTGACTCACTGTCTGACTTTCGCCCCCACCTGCCCTTGTCTCTCTGTCTCCTGCACATTTCTCTATGGGTCTGTCCAGGAGTCTCAGCCATTTCCAGAGGCTCCCTGGCTGCGGGCGACAGTCCACGTGTCTCTGTCTCTGGGTCTCTGTCTCTCCATCCCTGGGGTTCTCAGCACAGTCTCGCATCGGTCCCTCTCCGCCTCTGGAACTGTCCCCCACTGTCACACCACGTGTGTCCCCCCTCTCCCTCGCTGGCTCTTACACTTCTGGGAATTCACAGCCCATCTCGG